AAAAAGAACTTGGCCACGCAAGCAAACGATCACAGATCAATATTATGCATATTAGGGTCGACGACCGACACAGTCAAAGAAAGGAGAAACGTAAGAATTGGAAATGTCGCTGCCAGGGACTGTCACCTTGAAATTTTTTTATCCCTCAATTCCCAAATTCTCCAGCTCCAGTCTTTACCCATTTTCCAAACTGCTGGATCATCTGCTTGAAAGGCATGTGGATAACGATGTACTTCAGAAATTGTTGAATGTACTAGAAGAAAAGCTCTTCCTGAAGGTTACTATCACGAAAAAAAGTGTACAGATGATAAAAAATAATTTACTTTACTAGCAAAGACAGTTTACACGTCATCAAAATACATATTTCAAAATTACATGTCTTCAAGAAGTGCCGGACTATATGTGGGCCTGCGGGCCGCTTGAAGCAAAGGCCTATTGGACCAAGCTCTCACAAGTCAAGGGCAGGGCTTGGTGATTAGAAAAACTCTCAAAATCCCATCCAGGTACAATCCAAGTACCTTAACTCTCTTAAGTTATTCCCTTAAAACACGGTATTGGTAGACATTAAAGACCATTATGGGGAGCTTTACAAGTGCCGTAATGTAAACGCAATACTCGCCTCTCCGGTACGACAACCCGCCCAACTTACAGTCACAAGCATAGAAAATAATACTAGGGCTTTAATCTGTACTAATCCCGCATACCTAACGTACTCACGATTCCGTAAAAAATGCGACGTATTAGGTAAATGGAAGGGGATGACTTGAAGGTGGTGGCAGGACTCTACTGCCATGCACCATCATTGGCCTCGCTGCTGCTGCTGCTGCATGACGTGTCCCTACACCCACAAAAAGCATCACTCTTGCCTCACACCCCAGAAACTTCCGTCCTGTCAACCACCACCAGGTATCCTTCAAAATATAATGCTTTCAAAACTCACTTTCGTAAATAATCATTGTACCCAACTGTAACCCCAAGGCCGGTCGAGCCGGTCGGCCGAGCGGACAGCACGCTGGACTTGTGATCCTGTGGTCCCGAGTTCGATCCCAGACGCCGGCGAGAAACAATGGGCAGAGTTTCTTTCACCCTATGCCCCTGTTACCTAGCAGTAAAATAGGTACCTGGGTGTTAGTCAGCTGTCACGGGTTGCTTCCTGGGGGTGGAGGCCTGGTCGAGGACCGGGCCGCGGGGACACTAAAATAGCCCCGAAATCATCTCAAGATAACCTCAAGATAAGGCATATGCTGAGCATCCACAGCACTCTGTCAATCTCTCTACTCCTGAATTAATTCAGACGAAGTATGATCAAACCCACAAGGGCCGTGACGAGGAATCGAACCTACGTCCGAGAGCATCCCAGACGCTGCCTTAATCGACTGAGCTACAGTCGATTAAGAGCTGTACAATGAAGTACAGACGCAGGATATTTAACAAAGTCGCAATAAACAAGCAACACTATTTGCTTCAACTTGGTCAGTGACTAGGCAAGTCTTGACCAGATCAAGGTAAGCGTCAAGTCGTTAACGTACACGTCAGAGACTGTGAAACTTCACCAGCCATAACCGGAGGGCTCCAGACGCAGCCCGGACACGAAGCCATCGAGTCTTGGGGTCGGGTAGTCCCTCGAGGATTAATACTGTTTGACTAATGATGTCAGGTTAACGACACGGCTGCGACATCCCCTGATGATCTTTCGCCCCCACCACCACGAAGAGCACAGGGACCGAAGGAGAGCACATGGAAGAATGAAAGCACTCTTGTTGACTAGCGTCTTCTCACCATTAGACAAGCATCAAATTGCAGGCGATGAGTCACAATAACGTGGCTAAAGTAATTTGACCAGACCACACACTAGAAGGTGAAGGGACGACGACGTTTCGGTCCGTCCTGGACCATTCTCAAGTCGATTCATCAAATTCACAGTGCCTTTGCCTAACCATATGCTTACGAACCTAGACCAATCAACGTAACCTAGTGTTGCCCCCCTCTGGACGCTGCTATCAGTAGCGTTATGGAGAAACAGTACACTAACTGCCGCGTGTAACCACCATATCGCGAGTCAGACAAGTGTAACTAGTGACGTCCACGCGTCCTCAAGGCACACCTGCTGCCTCCACACCTCCCGCGCCTCACACACACACATTGAATAATGAGGTAAAATGCCTTCCTTGGCAACAGACGAGATAGACTGGCATACTGGCGTTAGCTTGCCTCAAGGACTCCCGGAAACCACCACATTTATACAAGGGAGGCCACCTCATGTTTGCCGAGCCATAAGCACACTCGGGTAAGACAGACAGAGACACAGGCAGACAGAGACGTTCACACTTAAAACATATAGAGATAATACTCTTGTCCCCCCAAATCTCCAAAGACAGGTAAACATGCAACAAGAGCAAAGACAGGTAAATTACAAATATGGTTAATGCATCATAACAGGGTCAACATGTATGACTACTTGCCCACCAAGCCATAAGGGGACACGTACCAATACAGCACAAGGCTCCACTGGGCAGGCTGGCAAATATGCAGAGATGTGCAACTGGAAACACTGAAACATTACATATCTTAACTGCCGTAACAAGGATTATCCATAACGTATTACAGATGACTATTTATGTTCCCCTTTACGTACCATAATCTGACTTACATGATTGTATTCCAGTGTAGGATATGGTATTTGCATCTTCTTGAGATCTTGAGATGATTTCGGGGCTTTTTAGTGTTCCCGCGGCTCGGTCCTCGACCAGGCCTCCACCCCCAGGAAGCAGCCCGTGACAGCTGACTAACACCCAGGTACCTATTTCACTGCTAGGTAACAGGGGCATAGGGCGAAAGGAACTCTGCCCATTGTTTCTCGCCAGCGCCTGGGATCGAACCCAGGACCACAGGATCATAAGTCCAGCGTGCTGTCCGCTCGGCCGACCGGCTCCCTGTCGGCTCCATCCGCATGTGCGGATGTATTTGTTTTTTTTATAAAGTTGAGCCTGGCTGATCCTCTTCAGATGTCGGAACGTCTAAAAATGCATTTGGTTCTAATTCCAAGTCACATATTAGTCGAGAAATTATTCTTGTACATAAAACAAGGAATTATTCTCCCTTGTCAACACAAGACAATAGCTTGTCTAATGTTCTCGTAGTCAATTATATTTCGCGTATGTAAGTAGTTAAGTTTTTTATGTTAAAAAATAAAATATAGAATGAATTTCTTGCAAAAAGAAACATGATAAATCGAGATACCTAACATATTTCTCGCTCGGGTTTCTACTAATGATAAATTAGAATTGTCTAAAGGTTTTTCATAGCAATACGATTTGTACAGAAATACTTATCACCCACGGTGTGGATTCTCACCTGTTATTGGCCATCATGTTAACCCAAATTACTTCAAAATTATAATAATTATATTATTTCTTTTAACATGTGAACAGTCGAGCAACGAGGAGGCCCGGTCGACGACCGGGCCGCGGGGACGCTAAGCCCCGGAAACACTCCAAGGTAACGCCAAGGTAGGCTAAATGTGATGTAGGAGTGGGTTCTTTCCTCGCACTCTCCACATTCATGTATCGTCCATCAACTCTGCTGGCCACGTCTAACTGGGCCCCTGTATGCTTAGCCACGTCTTAAGGAGCAAGCATTGTTATGGACGTGACAACCACTGTGCTGCCTTGAGGCAACGCAGGACCTGACTCCTGGTCCTGCCAGCGTCCCCCAGACGGTGTCCTGGTCCTCCCAGCGTCCCCCAGACGGTGTCCTGGTCCTCCCAGCGTCCCCCAGACGGTGTCCTGGTCCTCCCAGCGTCCCCCAGACGGTGTCCTGGTCCTCCCAGCGTCCCCCAGACGGTGTCCTGGTCCTCCTAGCGTCCCCAGACGGTGTCCTGGTCCTCCCAGCGTCCCCCAGACGGTGTCCTGGTCCTCCCAGCGTCCCCCAGACGGTGTCCTGGTCCTCCCAGCGTCCCCCAGACGGTGTCCTGGTCCTCCTAGCGTCCCCAGACGGTGTCCTGGTCCTCCCAGCGTCCCCCAGACGGTGTCCTGGTCCTCCTAGCGTCCCCCAGACGGTGTCCTGGTCCTCCCAGCGTCCCCCAGACGGTGTCCTGGTCCTCCCAGCGTCCCCCAGACGGTGTCCTGGTCCTGCCAACGTGTCTCTTTATACGTTCACTTTACATCTACTTGGGACGTACAATGACTTTCAGCGAGCATTTTCTGGCAGTATGCACTTAGTACTTATAATGTCCACTTACTATCTTGCACCATATACTTACAGCGTGTACTTATTTTCAGCACAGCATGTACTTACGGCATATCCAATTACGAAATTGTAAATACCACTAATGACCGGCGCAAGCTAACCCAATTGGGGCCTATAGTTACACCACTTATGACATCCTCTATTTGATTCTTTTTTGTTATATCGGCATGTTATCAGCCGTTTTAGAAATAAACGCACCTTTGTCTTATTTCCTGGATTTTTCTGCTTGAGCCATTAACTCGTTGAAAAGCTTTATCTTTCTTATCACCTACACAAAGAATACTGATAACCGAAATCTCAGATATTTACTCAGGAAGAAAAACTTCAATAATTTTCCTGTTAAAATAAACACTACATGACGAGTTAGACGCAATCGACTTGAGAATGGTCCAGGACGGACCGAAACGTCGTCGTCCCTTCACCTTCTAGTGTGTGGTCTGGTCAACTACATGACGATACATGTTGAATGGCATCCAAGAAGAGACCAATATGTATCAAGTACCTATACGCAATGACTTTTGAAACCTTTACATCCTTCCTCAATCGTGACGACTTGTTTACATTTATTAACCAGTTGATGAGCTCCAAAGCCCAACGAGGTTGTTTATAACGACAATAATATTGGGTTGTGACGTTACGAAGCTAGTAAACACCATGATAAAGAAAAGATGTACAGGTTTCGTAAGAGTAGGGGGGCGGAACAACGTGGGGAGTGAGCGAGCAGGACGGGGCTGTACAAGACCACAACTTACCTGTCCTGCAGTGTCGCACAGCTGTAGTCTGATGGGCTGATTATCCACGTTCACCACCACTGCAAAAACAACACTTCGTTAGCACTAACCATGAAATTATTATATTATATATATATATATATTAGTATATTTTGGTAGCAGTCTTTCCTGTAGACATATATTATTAAATATGACCGAAAAATTAAGATTAATAATTCTAACACGAATTTTCTCAAAGAAATGTACGAAAGATTGAGAAAATTCGTGTTAGAATTATTAATCTTACTTTTTCGGTCATATTTAATAATATATATATATTATATATATATATATATATATATATATATATATATATATATATAATCTCTTATAATCTCTAATAATCTCTTTCAAGAGAGATTGAGCCTGCTCTTCCCTACAAAGTACGTAAAAACAAAATATAATATAGAAGATACGTACAGCAAGTATCTCCAAAACGTTTTGCCCAGAGAGCAAAACGTATCCAGCACACCGGCACACCTGCTAGCTACCGCCACCGTAAACCGGCAAACTGCTTGTCCATTGCCTGCCTGTTGCTGATTGGCTGGTGTCCCGTCGCACCTGCCCTCCGCCACAAGTTGATGTCTGGGCTGCAGTGGCCCAGTATTGTCAGAATATCTCGGTGCTCCTTGCAGTTGACATCTCTCGCTGGTAGACTAAGCCTTGGCTTTCGTGTACTAAGGGAGGTGGCAGCTCGAAGCCAATATTCCAGCTCCATTAATATTTATTTTGCTATCACTGTAACTCACTTGTCTTAACGTAACTTTTCATTTGAGAGTGATTATTCATATTATTTTGTTTGTTGACTTGTCTTTTATATTTTATGCTTAACTTTATTCATGTCTTGTTTTTCTAACGTAATTAAAATTTCATTGTTAAATTTACTTGTGTTTTGTGTGTCTTCCCATTACCTTACCACAGACGAAAGTTCCAGCTTTTCTTTTTTTTTCTCTCTAATGTGACGAGGCGAAGCTTTTGAAACAGCCGAACACCAATGCTTTACCGTCACAATATATATATATATATATATATATAATATATACATATATATACACACACGTGTGTGTACACGCATATATATATATCAATGGTCTTTTTATATCACAAGCGTACTATAGCACAAATTCACTTGAACGCGTACAGAGGATGCCCAAGAATTAGAATCTTATTTTAAATTTTCTAGCAAGACGGAGAATGAGTGACATGACTGAAGTATATAAACGAACAAAAGGATATAAAGAACGGGGGATATAAATAAAGTTTTAGTTATAACAAAACAAATAGAACACGAAACAATGAATATAAATTGGAGAGGGTTTTAGATTCAGGAAAGACCCGGTAAGTAACGGTTTGGAAACAGGGTTGTTGATTTATGGAATAAATCACGAGGGGGGGGGGGGGTTAGGTGGGGGAGGGGGGATTGGTTGGGGGGTTGGAGGAGGGAGGGGGGGAGAGGGGGCAGGGGGGTAACATAATAGACGGGCTAGTTGGTTTGTTTGGTGAAGGTTGGACATATATATATATATATATATGTGTCTGGGTGATATCAATAGAGGGCGGCGTGTCTTATGAACCAACAGGCCTTCTGCAGTTGTTGTTTAAGATTCAGCTACTCGGAACTAAAAAAGTTCCAAGTAGCACGGGCTATGGTGAGCCCGTAGTGGACTTACCTGGCACAGGAGCGGGGCTGTAACTTGTTCTGCAGTTTATTTATCACCTTTGCTATTTGTTCATCTTTGTGTGTCGTTCAGTAGAATTTTTTTTAGACTACTTTGGTGCCACCTTTGAGAAGTTTTACTATTTTTTTGCAGGTTTTCGATTTCGTTAGATAGCCTACAGGTGACATCGCTAAGATGTGATATTTGCTTTTAAATTCGTATGAACCGGAAGATACAAAATTCTATGTCTTGACCATTGGTGGTTTGCAAAGGCATGCTATCATTACAGTTGCTTCATCCAAGTTCACCTTGGTTTGCATGGTATTTGCAACGTAAGCTGAGCTTGAACATTCGTAAAGAATTTATTAGCAGAAGGTTATCAAACTTCATTGTGGTTTGTGATTAACTGAACATCGACTAACACTGTATTCTCATTTAAATTATAAATCATCTAAATTATACTTATTCTGTTGGCATCGGTAAATGTTTCTATCCCTTAGGCTAAGCAATTGCACAAGACTTGCTTTTTATTCCTTTGAATTTTGCATTGGTTAGGAAATTTTATGTTTAGTTATGTGCTTTATATTGTCTGTCACAATCTGTCGTCGTTTTGAAGCTCAAGAATGTGCTCGCTTAACACCCGGGTCCAATTCCAGATCAGCCGGGCTGTGGTGGGTACGTGAGCCTGCGGGCCGCTCCAAGCAACAGCCTGGTGGACCAGACTCTCACAAGTCGAGCCTGGCCTCGGGCCGGGCTTGGGGAGTAGAACTCCCAGAACCCCATCAACCAGGTAATCCCTTTTGCAGTTTTCAAATTTGTTTTAATGAAGAACAGGCAATCACGAGATATTCTTAAGTTCTGTAATGGAGATGTCTTTCAGAATTTTCCTTCATCTTCAGGAACGTGAGATTATCGCGAGTGTCCACAGTCCACAGTGTTCGGTCACACCACTTTGTCGGCGAATACACTGCCACTCAACCCTTGATAAAACCTGTCTTGGTAATGGTTTCCCTGCACACAGCTCTGCAGGCGACCTAAATCAGCCGGCGAGGAACAGATAATTTAGATTAGAGAAAGCCCTTAATTTGCAGCAATTCGGTTCACTTGCTGTTATACTAAGCGGAGGATTATACTGTATATGCGCTTGGCAGACAAACATTACCATAATCGCCTACAAGCTACTCACTAATTTCTTGAAGTTTCTTCAAACATTGTGGAAACGTGTGTGACAACTAATGAGCGTTCTTAAGATCATATGTTGGGAGGTTTGAAGAGCTCCCGTGTAGCACCGAGCACCTTGGTATCTGAGGCTATAATCACCGTCGCCATCAGTGTTAATTTATCAAGTCTAAAGAAACAAAATACACATCAGTCTTCAGTTCAAAACTACGACTCCTCCAGATAACAGTTTTCAATTCCTAAGACTCACCAAGTGGGAGAAAAGCTTAAATACGGCTTACTTGAATAAAACAACCAGGCTACAATACCACATGAGCAGATACAAAACAAGAAGAGTACTAACGTGCAGTAAACACTAGAGTCAGTGTTTGCCAGTGGGCTAATTGTAGCTAAACAAAATCGATAATGTGCCTCTGTAACCCTTACCACCACCGCCCACGGGATGGGTATGGGGTGCATAATAAAGAAATTCAATTGAATTGCCTTACTGGATGTCATTATCACCTCGGGTACGGAACCAAATCGACACTTACGAAAACAATAGACAAAACGCAAGACCACTTTAATATCATAGCCTAAGGAATAGACGAAAACGAACACCCATATGGCCATTCCTCTCAGTGTTAATTATTAAGCACCAGAAGTCATTCTTTTTAGGGGTTTCAGTTTAATCAACTGAGCTACGACATGGGTAAAAGAATTGCAACCGGAAGTTCTACTGACTTTACCCCTCTTGGCACCTCGGAACAGATTACAATAGCTATCACCATCAATTTTAATATGAAATTTAAACAATATATACGAGCCAAATTAACTTTCTCCCAAATCAATCACAAATGCTCATTAATTGGGTATAATCCAAGCTGTTGCTATTGAGATTTAGGCCGCAAGTTGGAACGAGGGACGAACGAGACAGAGCTCAGTGTCTCACACGCTAAGCTATGGCCAGCACACCAACAACAATTATAGTGCTAGACATACGATTGCAATGCAATATAACAATATATACCAGCCTGGTGAGGTAACCCTGGTAGCGTGTTGCACTTTGACAAAGCGTATAGCCTCATTTACACATACCACATTGATGAAATAAGCACATAAAAACACCAAATTACGATGTGCAATAATAAATGTTTTGCAACAGCTTAAATGCATAGATAATTAGCCTGAAGTTAAGAATCTTTTTACCGTACGCCGTTTTTAATTCTTTATACCGTTAACCTCATAATAATAGGCCACTGATTTCAGATACAAACATGTTACAATCACGTTCTCGAAACAAATGGGAATAGCTTAGTTGAAAATCACAAAATTTATCCAGTGTAAAGTTTAGCCATCACAGTGCAGGTAGTATATGGCAAATAATTCTGCTTGGAGGGTGGAAGGCAAATAATTCTGCTTGGAGGGTGGAAGGCAAATAATTCTGCTTGGAGGGTGGAAGGCAAATAATTCTGCTTGGAGGGTGGAAGGCAAATAATTCTGCTTGGAGGGTGGAAGCCAAATAATTCTGCTTGGAGGGTGGAAGCCAAATAATTCTGCTTGGAGGGTGGAAGGCAAATAATTCTGCTTGGAGGGTGGAAGGCAAATAATTCTGCTTGGAGGGTGGAAGGCAAATAATTCTGCTTGGAGGGTGGAAGGCAAATAATTCTGCTTGGAGGGTGGAAGGCAAATAATTCTGCTTGGAGGGTGGAAGCCAAATAATTCTGCTTGAAGGGTGGGAGGCAAATTATTTATGCATGCCTCTCTCAAGGTAAGAGCCATTTCTCTGCGTCACAATGACGAGACTTCCGGCATCACCAGAGGGCTGGCGGAGGTGAATATCAGAGCAATAAGAGGTGTACCGGTGTATCCGTATTGGTGGTATCGACCTATTTCTACAGTATCTGAAAGATTTCATCCGATAACTTTTTTTCCCAAGCGGACACAGATTACTGCTAAGTCTCGTTAGCTGGTTTATAGCTCTCCCCCCCCCCCCCACACACACAGCTTATATTAAGCTTTTTACCATACAAGTTTGCCCATGCTGAGTATGGGTGAACAGTTACGGATCGATGATCAATCTTATTTTTCTTTCCCATAGTAAGTTATGAGGAAATAGTAAATGTATTAAAACTCGTCAATTGAAGACAGAGTTAGTTTAGACGATCAAAAAAATTAATAAAAAACTATCAAGGGAATCGCCAGGATATGGTAAAGGATACTCT